ACAATCTTGTAAAATCTGTATTGATCTTCTTTATCAATATATATTTTAAATTTGAAAATTGTGTTTGTATTCATCCCCCCCCCCCTTCTACAAACTGTTTAGTATTCTTGTAGACCCTTTGGGACCAACAAGTCATCACGAATATAACACATATATACCATTTCACATAAAAACAATTAAAACGGGGGAAAAAACTATATCGAGATGAATGTCAATATCGAATAGCATGAAATTCTCATCTTTTTGATATAATTTATTTGATTAAAATATTAGTAACTTTAACAAAATTTATTTTAAACTTTAAGGGCGTAAAAGTGTTTAATGAAAAAAAGAAGAAATAAAAAGTCAAATAGGTAGGTGTGGGATTGAATTAACTTTCTTTTTTATCTCTAATCACCTTAATTAATAAGTTCAATAGAAAACAATATTTAATATGAGTTGTCAGATCAAATAGATAGAGGGCCGAGATTGGTTCTCAAGTTAAAAAAAATGAGTTTCCAAAGAACATTCCTCTCTCTGAATATATCTTTTTGTTTCCTTTGTTTCTACTAGTGTTATAAAGTTGTCGTTCCATCCTCAATTTATACAAAATCAATGATTTCTTGAATCTGTTGTTTCTAGAAGTATTGTTTTATTGCATGCATTTATATTTCTTAAGATTAAACTAAGGGGTCGTTTATCAAACGCTTATCCGGGTAACATTACCTCAACGGATGAATATGGCAAGGACCAAGAATCTTACCTGGTAAGAGCGAGACAAGGACCAAGAGTCTTACCCGCTAAGTGAGGGCGACGACTCTTACCATGGTAAACACTTACCAGGTAAATTGTTGCATACGATGTCGTTTTGATGGACTAAAATCTTACCCGGTAAGTAAATAATAGTGTTAAATTTTACCAATAAGCACTTACCGAATACGTGTTTGGTAAACGGCCCCTAAATCTAGACTTGTACCATTTCTTTTCTATATATGATGGAACCTTCTTTGAAGAGTAATTTAATAAGGTTTCACGTATTATCATATTGTATCAAATTCAAGGTATATCACTCTAAGTAGTCGACATTCTAGAGCAATTTGTGCTCGTCTAACTCCCTTTCGACACTCTAGAACAATTTGTGCTTAATGAACATGCATTACGTTGGACTGGGAATGTTAGAGTCCTGCATTAGTTCGACTTGAATCATTTTTTTCTCTATATATGGCAGAACCTTCTTTTCCTCCTCAATGACTCTTTTAGGGGCGTTTACAAAACGCTTACCGCCAAGAGTCACCACATGATGTACCTTATGGGGTTACATTCTTGGTCATTAAAATAGATTTTTAATAAACATCTTTTACCCGATACTCTCTCACTTCCCAGGTAAGATTACCGATTCTTATTATGTCTCCTACCAGGTAAGATTCTCGGTCGTTGCCATGTTCATCTAGTAAGATAAGTAACACCAAATAAACGTTTACAAGTTAAGCATTTGGTAAACATCTTAAAAAATAAATTAACACAATTTGATATATTCCCACATAAGGGGTTGGATTCCAGTGAGAAGTGAGAAGTGAGAAGTGAGAAGTGAGAATGGAAGTTACAGTGATAAGCATAAGAATAGATCTCCACCATTGGATCAATCTTAAATGAATGTCAACATTGATGAGTTGTGCACCAAGATGCACCAGATCAATTCCCTTCTAAAGACGATTCATGGGTGAGCATGAGATTAAAAAAGATCAACACTCCAGATCATTTTTTACGTTTCTCACGATAACTTTTCTTCTCACACGATCCTTCGCCTCCTACATAAATAGTCACTACAACAAAATCGGGTTTATAGGATGCCCCCAATTTTTAAACGTCCTAATAAACCTCTTTATAGGACTTAGTTTATAGGACCAAAAAATAAAGTGTCTTATCTAAAGGCATTGTAATAAGTTTATATGACGTTTTTTGATGTCGTAATAAGTTTTTTAGGACACTTTTAATATAAAGCGTCTCATTAACAACTTTATAGAACACTATTTGAAAAATTGTCCTACAAAAACAAGTGTGCTATAAGAAATTGAGTTTATAGGACACTTTATCAAAAGTGTCCTATAAAGTTGCTAATGTGACGTTTTGTGTTAAAAATGTCCTAAAAACGTGTTAAGACGCCCAAAAACACCATATAAACTTATTACATCGTCTTTAGATAGGACGTTTTATATTTTGGTTCTATAAATTAAGTCCTATAAAACAGTTTATTGGAACATTTAAAGATTGAGAGAATTCTATAAACCCAATTTTATTGTGGTGATTAAAAAAAAAAAGAATTTTCATTCACGAATTAATTGGATCACACACTATTTAAAAATCATCTTAATGAATTGGGTAGTGGTTTTTGACTAGAACAAGCCTCCCACCCAAGCCAAAACACTGAAAATGGAAAATGATTCACATTCCTCCAAATCTAATATCGATCGTGAGTCGTGCAGGTCTGCAGTAGAACTGACATAAAGCTCTAGATTATTCTTGCAATTTCTTTAAAACTTTCCATTAAGTCATAATTAGATAGTTTTAGGTCATTAGTTTGATGAGAAATATCATTACTAACAAAATTAGGTTTATAGGACACCACTAATAAATAAGCATTTTAATAGACTATTTTATAGGATCAAATAATAAGGCGTCCTATTTAAAGGTGTTGTAATAAGTTTATGATACATTTTTTGGTATCTTAACAAGTTTTTTATGACACTTTTAATATAAAGCGTCTTAATAGACCACTTTATAGAACCAAATAATAGAGGGTCATATTTAAGGGTGTTGTAATAGGTTTATAAGACGCTTTTGGGTGTCTTAACAAGTTTTTTAAAACACTTTTAATACAAAACGTCGCATTAGCTATTTTAAAAGACATTTTTTATAGGGCACTTGTGTTTATATGACATTTATTCAAATAGTGTATTATAAAATAGCTAATTTACGTTTTTTTTATAAAAGTGTCCTGAACAAACTTGTCACGACGTTCAAAAGCGTCCTAAAATCTTATTACAACGTTTTTAGATATGACGCTTTATTTTTTGTCCTATAAAATTGTCTATTAGGATGTTTATTTATCGGTGGCATCCTATAAACCCAATTTTGTTGTAGTGTTGGAACTATTTTGCTATTAACATTGAACGAGAATTTTATAAACTTCTCTCTAAGTTTAGTGATATTTTTGTATATGGAGGTGGCATTTCAAAAGTTGTAACACTACAATAAAATCAGATTCATAGGATGTCAAAAACGTCTAAGTATCCAAATAGACTACTTTACAACACTTACTTTTATATTAACCAAAGTATTAATTTTGTGTCTGAAATAATTTGTCCTATGAACACATTATTTATCTAACACTTTTATAAGAGATTACGTCAAATAATGTCATATAAAAAGATTAATAAGACGTTTTATTTCGGAATATATCATCCTAAAAAATTTGTTAATTAGGTCCAAGAACGTCCTATAAACGTAATGTAATACTTTTACATAGGATTACAAGTGTTTGCTCCTATAAACATAAGTCATATAAATAGTCTTATTAAGACATTTAGGGGTTGTTTGGTTGATTTTTCATTGAGTACTATATGGATAAAACTGACTGCGTGGATTAATGTGTTTCTGTAGATTGGGAGGGTATTCCATAGATTTAAGGATCATGTTTTTAATTGAAAGGGGTAGGTTTGGATTTTTTTTTTTTTACTTTCTGCGTAAAGCTCTCTCCCGAAAGGTTATCGAATATGACAGTCATTTTCTATATCATCAAGTTACTACTAAACAGTAATGTATAATTGACCGAATAAGTTGCAAGTCTATTAAGTTGTTAACAAGCAAACTTTTAAATATATATGAAGTCCTAAAAAGCTTTAGCTTCACTATATATACATAAACTCATCATTTTCTTTTGCTACAAATAAGTCATAAGGAGAAAAAAACAGCTTACATACAAAATGATAGGGTGGGATGACATTTACAAGGTAGTAATTGCAATGTTTCCACTTTACGTAGCACTAATTTTAGGCTATGGCTCAGTGAAATGGTGGCATATGTTCAAGCCTGACCATTGTGATTCAATAAATAGGCTCAATTGTTACTTCATCATGCCTTTTTTCACATTCGAATTCACAACCTGCATCGATCCCTATAAATTCAATTACCGTTTCGCAGTGGCTGACGCCATCTCAAAAGTCATTATTCTATTCGCAATATCGTTATGGACTAAATTCAGTATTAACGGAAACTACCCTTGGTCGATCACCACTTTCTCTTTGTCTACCTTGAATAATACCCTTATTGTAGGTGTACCCCTTATGAGAGCAATGTATGGATCTCTTGGAGAGAACCTTGCAATCCAATCCTCAATTTTGCAGTTTTTGTTCTGGATTATACTGTTGTTGTTGATGTACGAATTCCAAAGTGCGAATAAAAGGTTGTGTTTGGATGTTGATCGTGAAAACGATAATATTAGTGAAGAGGAGACGATGACGGGTACCAAACCTTCTTCGTTGATTTTAATGAAGATTGTCGGGCTAAAGCTTGCTAAGAACCCCAATTCGTATGCATGCATCCTTGGGCTAACGTGGGCTCTCGTATCTAATAGGTATGCTATTGAAATACATTGTATCAAGCTTACGCATATAGTTAATTATTTCACGTTACTATGATAAAATCAGCTTTATAAGACGCCAAATATGTTTAAATATCTTAATGTATATTATATAGGACTTAAGAGGATTAAACAACTGTACGTCTTATGTAAAAATACTACAATAAGTTAATAGGGCACTTTTGGGTGTTCTAACAAGTTTTTTAGATTAATTATGAAATAAAACGGCCTTAAAAGTGTTCTATTGAAAGATATTTTTTCATAGAACACTTCAGAAAAAAAACATCCTATAAATAAACTAATATACATTTTATTTCAAAAGTGTCCTAAAACTTGATAGGATGCACAATATAACATCTTATCGTAATACTTTTATATAAGACGTTCAATTGTTTGATTTCATTACAACAAAATCGGGTTTATAGAACACTCCCAATTTCTAAGCGTCCTAATAGACCTTTTTATAAGACTTAGTTTATAAGACCAAAAAAATAAAACGTCCTATCTAAAGGCGTTGTAATAAGTTTATATGACATTTTTTGACGTCGTAATAAGTTTTTTAGGACACTTTTAATATAAAACGTCTCATTAGCAATTTTATAAGACACTATTTGAAAAATTGTCCTATAAAAACAAATATCCTATAAAAAAATTGAGTTTGTAGGACACTTTTGATAAAGTTGCTAATGGGAAATTTTGTATTAAAAATGTCTTAAAAAAACTTGTTAAGACGCCCAAGAGCGTCATATAAACTTATTACAACATCTTTAGATAGAACGCTTTATATTTTGGTCGTATAAATTAAGTCCTATAAAACGGTCTATTTGAACGCTTAGAGATTAGAGATGTCCTATAAACCCAATTTTGTTGTAGTGTTCTATAAACTTAAGCCTTATGAATGAGTTTACTAGAACATTTAAAACGTATAATGATGTTTTATAAAACCGATTTTGTGGTGATGTGTTTTCTAATAAGTATATATATATGCATGTCGGGTCCAGGTGGAATTTTAAAATGCCGACCATCTTGGAAGGATCTGTACTGATCATGTCTAGAGCTGGTTCAGGTGTGGCCATGTTTTGCATGGGTGAGAATTTTCACTTATTGTCTTAATCAAAAGTTATTTTTAAGAAAGAAAAAAAAAGAATTTGATTATTAGTTCCATACGGAACCCTCCTTCAAAGATACAAAAATGAGGAGATATTTTTTTATCTCACTTAGCGGTACCTGGGGGAGAGGGAGGATCAAACCAGGACTTGTCTTGTATTTAAGCAAAGTTAGCCCACTGAGTTGTTGTCAAGTCCATTCCGGCATTTTATAAATCCTGGACGAGATCTAAAAAAAGACCCATGATACGTACGAAAAAAAAAATCTTCAATATATTATTTATTCATCAGAATTATTATTGGATTCAAGAAATACTAGTAATTCATATAAAACCATTTTGAAGTATTCCTAGACATAAAATCAATCTATAACTAATTCTAAATTAATATTATCTACCTTATCATTTTTACATACGATCGTCAATCTGTTTAGCCGTAAAAAACATCCTATAATATACCTTTAATATGTAGATTGATATCATTTAATCAACAATGTTGACTATTTAGAGTAACACTCTATATAATTCAATATAGATAAGTTGGTTTTCATTTCACCTCATGTTAATTTTCATCACCGTTTTAAAACTTTCAAGGTTAAAACAAATTGTTTTCGAAAACATCAATGTTATAATCAAAAGTCCATGTTGGTCATAGATTGACATATTATTATTGTTTTAGAGATAGGAGAGTACCTAAGATTCATGCACACACTATTAGATAATAAATAGCCAATAATGTATGAAAAAACAATGGTAGCTTTGGAATACTAATATATAGATATAAGTTGTACTGTATCATTTTTTCAAATAGTAGGAGTTTTCTTAGTTAATAACAATAAATCTTACTATATTCTAATACATACAGAATAATCAAAAGAGTCAGTGGAAGATGAGATGTAGAATGTATTAAAGCTTTTCTCGGCTAGTAGTTTTAAACGTTGGTACTAGATAAAAAATTCAGACAAACAATAAACAATACTATGAAATGAACTACCAATTAGCTTTTTACATATTTTTATCTGGTGTAATTAATTAATACATGTTTGGACGCCTAATATAATACGAAATTCTTGTTAGTCCGATTAGATACTAAAACAATATGTATTTTTTATTTACTAATTGTTTGAACTACTATTATATACAACAAAAATTTGGCTTGCGACTCATCCTGAAAGGGGATTGTGTCAACAAGCCCTATTCCGATGAAAAACAACCCCTTTTCTTTTTATTTAGCTAGTTCCTAGAATCACTACCTCTTTAAACCTCTGATGAGAAAGGAAACTCATTCTCAAAGGCTAATAAGACCTCTCCCTCCCTTAGGGTACGACCTTGGCTATCGTCTATATGGATTATTAATTAATTTGTCTTTATGATTTAAAGTTATTGTTCAGTTGTTATGATATTGTTTAAATGTCAAAAATGACTATTTTACCGCTTAATTAATGTATATCAAACACTCTTAAATAATTGTTTGATAACCAGCCCATTTGTTTACGTGAATTTCTCACAAGTGTCTTATAACAAAACTAGTAGGACATTTTTATTTCAAAATTACTGCAAAAATTTATTAAGGTGCCCAAAAAACTTTTTGTAATTTGTAAATAAGACGTACAATTGTTTACTTCCTCAATCTTATAATTAAGACGCTTAAACATTTTTACAGAACTTTATACTCGATTATATTATAGTCAAAATTAAGGTAGTAGCATTTGGGCATGCATGATGCAGGACTGTTTATGGCATTGCAAGATAAGATAATCGAGTGTGGTGTGACATTAGCAGTTTTTGGTATGCTACTGAGGTTTGTGGCAGCACCAGCAACAATGGCTGTTGGTTCTCTTGTTGTGGGTTTGCAAGGGGATGTCCTTTCTGTTGCCATCATTCAGGTGATTACTTGATATTTGCTAATTGTCTGTATTAGAATGTTTACAATAGCATTTTACATTTCCATCCAAAATGGAGAACTAAAAGTCAAAATCTTTTAAAAGAAGTACATTCATCTTCAACATATTAATATATTAAATTTCATTCATCTAGTAAAATATTATCTTCAGTGTTTCCTATTGGTGGTCTCACTTGGTAATCATTTTTGGAGAAAAACCCTTCTCTCTCCTACTTAATCCATTTTGGAGATAGTTTTACGGAAGCAAAAATATTGGCTCAAAATCTTCATTTTTTCAATTTTGAAGAAGATGTTAGAGATGCTTTTATAAACACTCTAATGTACTTATAAGTTTTTTTCGGAACAACAATCTTGTGTCGTATATGAAGTGCGATTGTTATCACAAACTCCACAACTTTAATTATTGACGTACTCATTAGTATTACACACCCAAAACCAAAACTGAAACATCACGATTCTAAATTACTCTATAAATTTTAGGCCTTGTTTGTTTTTCTAAAAAAAGCTCTTATCAACCTCTTATATCTAATTCGTGAAGATGCAGAGTTATTCACACTGTTCGTTTTTTTCGAATTTTTGAAAGGCACTTATGTCTTATTATTTTCTTATCTGGTGAGAAGTAAAACGACTTTCTATTTACTCTTATTGTTCTCCACGCCATCAACAACGGATTTCTCAATCATTTCTCTAAATTGACGGATTTTAATAGAATTTAAATGTCCGTTAATGTCATATTTTCTTTTAAATGAATATAATTTAGATGTAAATTTCATAATGATGATAAATAAATACGTGAAATTGTATAAATTTAATTATCTATAAATTCAACACTATAATTTTCTAATTGATAAAATAGATAATTTAAACAAATTCAACTATTTACCAGTTTATAAAAACAAATAGTCTTGAATCAATCATAATTGAATGTCAACACTAACTAGGTGCACCGAGATTCACCGGCTCAATTCCCTTCTAAAACACAATTCATTGGTGTACATAAGATTAATAGTCAGGGACGGACCCAAAAAAATTTTCAAACGGTGGCATCAAAATAATTAATATAATATAATATATATCCAAAAATAATTACAAAAAATATGGTTTTTATATGATCGATAAATAATTCCTAAACTTGTAACCGATGCGTCTTCATCTTTTGAAAACGGTCAATATATACCCAAAAATAATTATAAAAGTATGGTTTTTATATAATTGAGAAACAACTCCTAAATTTGTCCTCGACATGTCTTCATCTTTTGGAAATGATCAATGACATCTTCATTTTTAACATTATTATGTGTTTCCTTTTCTATGGTACAAATGAAGGTAGAATTCAAAAAGTCATCACCAATTCGATTACGTAAATCTGACTTGACAAGCTTCATCCCCGAAAAGCATCCTTCAACCGTAGCAGTTGCAACAAGCAAAATAGTGTTAGCTTCAATAACCGTTAGATTAAAGGATGAGAAAGATGCTTTCTTGTAAATCACCCTCATGAACCGTAAGTTTCTCTTTTTAACTCCAACTATTGAATCCCTCCGTCACAAATGAATCCGTCTCATGATTCCCACCTTGGTCTCTGAATAAGTAACAAGGCAAACAATATTCTTTATCTACTTTTACATTGTACTCCAACCATTGAAATTGATCAAACCAAGTAACAACAAACCGTCTTGCTTTAGCCCCTATAACTTTGGTTGGAAAGTCGTGACCTCGTGGTTGACAAGGCCCCCTATACCAAGTATTTATGTCTAATTTCATCTCATTGATTTGGGTTATAAGTTATAATTTTGGGTCTCTTTGATGGATCCCAAAGAAGATTGTTAACATCAATCACATTGTTGTTGGATGCATTATCACCTGTTGATGAGAATATTTTCGTTTCAATTTTTTTTCCATATCATGTTATCAACACTAAGTAATGAAGCAATGAACTATAAAATGTAAATAAAACAATAAATAAACTAACAAGAAAACAGAGACGAAAACACCAAAGAATCAACATTGTATTGATATTTGATCAAGTAATCAAGACTCAAGACTTCAAGAGTCATGAGTAATCTAATCAACATCATCAACTAAACTACAACTAATTACTAATGAACTAAATGTAAAATTGTATTGATCAACTCATCAACATATCAAGACATCAAGTAATCAAGATCCAAGAGTAAAAATGGATACCTAAATATGAAAACATATACCAAATAGGCAAATAGCACTGTAGCAAGCGAGTTGATCGAGTCTTAAGTGAGTTGATTCGTTCCTATCGAGAATCGTCTGATCCATCCTCTGATTTCCGATTTCGTCTCGTCCGATTCCGCGATTCACACTCGTCTCTCTCGTATTTGTTCCACTGTCGTCTCAATCTCGTCCCGCACAGTATACAACCACGACTTTGTTTGGCCGGCTAAGGCCTTTGCATTTGGGCTTTAAAGTTTCAATTTAGTTGAGTTTCTAATTTACAGAATTGGGCTTCCAATTTATTTGGGTTTCAGTTGCACCATTTTAAACTTCAGGAATAATACGGTAGCACATTTTAACAATACAGTTGCACAGTTTACGAACTTAAATTTTTTACCCTTCGACAGAGGAATAATATGGTGGTGCGTGCCATTTATACCACCTAAACAGAAAGTGATCAAGAGTTCAAATTTCTTCTTACGTTTTTCACATGATCATTGGCCTTTTTAACAAGCCACAGTGGAAAAAAAAAACCATAAGTTAACTCTTGTTTAAATTAACAAAATTTCAATTGTTAATTTTCTCTTCGTCATTGGCAAACAGGCTGCACTACCGCAAGCGATTACGGCTTTTACATATGCCAAGGAATATGATCTCCATGCAAATGTGCTGAGCACTGCGTAAGTATTTTTGTTTTTGTCACAAATTTATTTACGAAGTTTGTTTTTTTCTTTTAAATAATTCCTTTTTTAAAATTAATGTAATAAAGTTTTATTATTTTCTACCGCAACGAACTTGGACTCCAAAGGTCAAAAGTGCCTGGAGGTCCTGGGCTCAAATTCAATGAGAAATAAAAATCCTCTTATGATCACGGAGGTTCAAATGAGGTGACTCCGGGCTACCGCAAAGAAGGTGGTCCTTCTAGGATTAGTCGGGTTGGATATCTAGGTTAGTAAAAAAAGTTTTATAATTTTCTAATTTGTATCATTTTTATTGATAATATGATATTCTTATAACATTTCATGACATAGATATTTACTTAAAAAAATTATGAGAATGAATGTGATAAACTTGACATCCATGTGTTACAAGATCAAAAGTTAACAATAGAAAATTTTATAACTTTCTCATTATATTATTTGAGAAAAAAGATTGTTTGTTAAATTGAATAGAAACCATGACAAACTCATCATTTCATTTTGATGTATTTTGTTATTTTCAAAGTATTAAGATACCATTTGCTTAGATGTATTTTTTGGTTCTTTATTCTTTATTTTGTCAAAAATTAGGTATTTTCGGCGGACAAAATCTGTCAGAAAATTACCGGCGGATTACTGACAGATTATTGGCAGACAACCAAAAAAGTTAACTTTCGTTGCCTTCCGACGGTAATCTGCCAGTAATCTGATTCTGATAATATTTCCTACGAATTTTCGTCGGATTTTGTAATTAATTGTTTTAGAATAGTTGTAACTTTAATTATAGTTTACCGGCGGATATTTAAATAATTTTTTAAAGTTAAGGTCCGTCGAAAATTCGCTGAAAAATAATTAAAAATTAAAATTTTTTGGCGGGTTCCGGGGGTCCGCCAGTAAGAATTATTGTCAACTTAATTTACACTACAATAAAATTGGGTTTATAGACCTCTAAAGTGTTTATATGTTTTAATAGTGTATTTTATAAGATTTAAGTTTATAGGACCAAAGAATAAATCGCCCTATAAAAAGGTGTTACAATTTATAAAATCAGAAAATGAATCGTCCTATCTAAAAGTATTATAATAAGTTTATAGAATATTTTTTGGCATCATAATAAACTAGGTTTTTAGGACTCTTTAAAAAGGGTAAAATGTTAAATTATTCTTTTTCTATGACATTGGTAAAAATTAACATATATCCTTTTTTTCTATAGCACTTATTATGCGGTGCAGATTTCAAAGTGTTCTATAAAAAGGATAACAAGACATTTTGTTTCTTGTGTCCTATTATGTTATTCAACTTTGTTGATAGTTGTTTGACACATAAATTCATCCAAAAATTTTGCAACACCATTGTATATATGTATCGCACAGTTGTTAATTCTATAATCTTACAAGTCAGGTTAAATACCAGTATATTAAGTGAATATTTTAGAAGACACAATGTGTTGTAGCATACGGGTTTTTTCACATTTGGTGAGCATATGGAATAACTTGCGAATTACAACTCTACTCATATAATTTTTCTCTATCCTTTCAGGGTCATATTTGGCACAATTTTGTCTATACCGGTGTTGGTTGCATACTACGTTGTGTTAGACGTCTTAAATGTGTAACTAGAAATATATATATCTTCACCTTAGCTCGTTAGTTCATGTGTTAATGACTTAATTTTCTAAGAACAAGTGATCAATTCGTATGTACCTACCTAAAACAGTATTGAAACTTGGTTGAATGGTAAGAGCGTGTTGGATATAAAACTGCTTTGGTTTTAATTAAGGTGTAACCTTACATAACCAATTGCACCTCATTGGTTTGGTAAATTTAAGCATTAGCAATTCACATTATATATAAACCTGAAATATTGTTTTTTTCCGTTAACCTTGGGTATCAGACCCATCTTGTGCACACTTTGACTAATTCCATGGGACATCATAGACCATGGTAGAATATCTCCGCTGAACTTGAAGGGATTCAAACTATGACCTCCAAGGATCAGTTTGTTGTTGGTCCTCAACAGTGCCTAATCATCTAACGAGGAACAATCAATGTCATGAGTTCCTTAACTATTGATTGATGACTAACCATCAATGTACTCTAAGTTGTCGATGAATTCTATGTGTCGTTTCCTCGCATCTCACATCACATTTTATTGTTTTTTCATCGCCTTATTCAGGAGTTAAAGCATCACTCGTTTCATGCCCACAAAACTCAGTTTCAAATTTCTGAAAGAGCCCAAATTTAGAGTAAATAACAAAATCCGTCTTATATGAAAATTTAGACCGGGTCCTTCAAACGAATTAATTACAACTATCATCATCATGGTTTTACTCTGTTAACTTAGCTCTAATTAAATCAATGATATTTTTAATTTTTTTCACTTTTTATTTAGCAAAATATATATTCTAGAAAACAGAGTATCAACGACGAATATTAGCGACAAAAAAAATCCCTCGCTGATCAACGAGAGATCAGCAACGAATTGACCAAAAACCAGTCTCGTCGCTGATCTGTGAGGGATCAGTGAGGGAACTGGTTTTTGGCCAATCTGTCACTGATCCCTCCCTGATCAGCGACGGATCAGCGAGGGAACTGGTTTTTGGCCAAATCCCTCGCAGATTCGTCGCTGATCAGCAACTGATTAGCAAATGAACTAGTTTTTGGCCAATCCCTCGCTGGTCTGTCGCTGATCAGGGAGGATCTGTGAGAGATTTAGCCAAAAACTAGTTCCCTCGCAGATCCCTCACTGATCTGCGAAGGATGATCCAAGAATCAGTTCCCTCGCTGATCAACGACAAATCAGGGAGGGAATTGGTTTTTGAAAAATCCCTCGCATATCAGCAACGGATCAGGGAGGGACTTTCCAAAAAACCAAATATGTCGCTGACCAACTAGGGGATCTACGAGGGAACTGGTTTTTGGCCAAATCCCTCGCTGATCCCTTGCAGATCAGCGAGGGATACCACTATCCATAGCTAGTCCGTCACTGATCATCCAGGGATCTGCGAGTACTTTCCTATTTTTCTTATTTTCTCATTTTTATGTATTATATGTACACATGTTTATGTCTTGGTGTCATATGTATATGTGTTATATGTATATATGTGTAGTTATATGTACACATATGTACACATGTGTATGCGTCATGTGTGTGTATTATATGTATATATACCCGATGGGCCGTGTTATATACATATGTATACACGATGTGTATATATATGTGTGTGTTGGTTGCTAAGCACGATTGGATTTATGTATATATACATGTATCATCGGATGGCATATATATGTTGTATATATGTTTAAATGTATACGTATATGCAAATGTCTAGATAATGTATGTGTTATATGTACATATAAATAAGCGTCATGTGTATGTGTGTTAGTCCACAAAATGATCCATCTTCAATCTTCAACTAAGATTCAATGACAATCTTCATGTTTATCAAAATGAACATTATGTAGAACTTGAGAGGAAAAGTCAACTTAGTCAAAGTATTTTAAATCTCTCAAATGAACGTATTATTACAAATGAGCTCTTACACTAAATCACTAGAAGACAAATCTATATATATAGGGTCAAACATTGAACCCTTCTAGTCAAAGTCAACAACTACAGCAAAGTCAAACATGCTAACTTTACAATTATAGACAATTATATACTTTCAAGACGAATACAATTTAACACTAAAATTCAGTCATAACATTCTCCCCCTTTGTATTCAGGCTTGAAAGAATTTGTGCGCTTTGAAGCTCTTTAGAACTTTGATGCTTTAAGCTTTTTATGACTTCTTGAAATCTTCAAAACAATCTTCTAACAATCTCTGCTTTATGATCTTCAGATGATCTTTTGTTAAGAAAATCTTCTAACATTCTCCTCCTCAAATGTAGAACAGAAATGATCTTCTCTTAATAAAGAACAATATCATCAACAATCTTCAGAAATGATTTTCAAGATATGATCTTCAAAGAATTTATTCAGACAAACAAATTACTAACGTTCGCTCCATAAATGAATTTCTGGAAAAATCGGATGTCTCTTTTCTTGGAAGGTATGGATCCTTATGTTCCATATACTATATCTTCGGTTGTTCCTGAAATAACTACGATTGCCGCGATTCCTCAACGGCAAATTCCTAAGCTATCTCATTAGTGGGGTGATGAAGACAAGAAGAAGGTGGCTATAGATACTCGAGCGAGATCTATAATAACCATGTGTCTTCCTGACGAGGTCTATCACTCTGTGATGAAGCTTAGGACCTCGAAATCCATGTGGGACACTCTTTGTGTTCAATATGAAGGTACTTCCCAAGTACAAGTATCGAGGAAGATTAATCTAGTAAGACAATATGAAAGCTTTCTCTGTGGAAAGAATGAAACGTTGTCTTGTTAGTCCCACAATACGATCAATCTTCAATATCATTCAATAATCCATGGCAAACTCATATGAACATTAAGAACACAATAGAAGGAGTAGAGAGAAAAAGTCAATTGGTCAAACTATGATTATATTTCTCTAAGTTTACGTATGATTACAATAAGCTCTCTAACACTTTCTAAAACTAAAAGAAAACCTATTTATAGGGTCAAACATTAAACCCTCTAGTCAAAGTAAACATTACAAACAAAGTCAAACAAACTAAAATACAATTATAAACCTTTCAAGACGAATACAATTTAATACTAAAATTCAATCCTAACATTCTCCTCCTTTGTATTCATGCTTGAAAGAATTTGTGCACTAATCTCTTTTGAACTTTGTTGCTTTAAGCTCTTTATGACTTATCGAAATCTTCAAAATCTTCTGTTGAGAAAATCTTCCAACATTCTCCCCCTCGAATGTAGAACAAAAACGATCTTCTCTTTTCACAATGAAGAATAACAATCTTCAGAAATAATCTTCAGAATATGATCTTCAAAGAACTTCTTCAGATAAACATTCACTAACATTTTTCCCATTAAAGAATTTCTTCAGATAAAAAAATTCACAAAAATTCTCCCAAAATTAATATTCTCCTTATCGAGAAATCTCTATCAGTAAACTCTTGTAAAGATGAGATCTTCACATTCTATTTCTCTTCAAACAATGTAGCACAGGAATAATCTTCAGTCACACTCCATTGAGTCTTTTGCCGATTCCCGATCTTTATATCATACTCCCCCTTGATCTTTATATCATACTCCCCTTATACCATTCAGAGTTGATTATCTCATTCATTATATTATACTCCCCCTTATGATGAAATGAGAATCATTAACATCATACATCAGAATGAATGAAATTTTCAGCGAGAGCCGTCAATTCATAAAATTTTAAGTAGATCTTTTCAAATCCGCTTGCATAATCTTTTCAGATTAAGAGAATGGAAAAGTAGCAACCAATTTCAACTTATGAAATTGTTTTCAATCTTATAAAAGATTGGCATGTGGATATAACAAATATACTCAGTACAACGAATGTAGTTCATATATGAGACTTTTTGAGAGGACTTCCATTTAATCATCAGCAGCTTAATAATAGCATATCTATGAATGTTTCAGCAAAATAACATATAAAATTATAAAATTTGTGTAGTGTAGAAAAAATAAAGCAACGTATGCTTCTGTTTAGGCTCAAAAAGATAAATCGTGTGGACTACACAAATTTATCTGACTCAAATCATGAACAAAAAGACTTGAAGGGGGGACATATATCCTTCTTTTTCAATATAAGTTTTCTCTGATTAAGAAACTGATAGATTGTGAGCTGTGTGCCCCAAGTGTTATTGAAACACTTATCTTTTAAGAGATAAATGAGTAGCTGGTGGGGTTGTGACAAGAATTAGCTTGGACTTTGTCTTTTTCAATATGAGTCTCAAAAGAATTGAGAACTAATAGATTTTGTGGTTTGCCGAGAATTTATAGGTTTAGAACAGGATTCTCTTGATTTTTTAATCCTGACACAACTCTCATCAATTCTTTTGGCTCACAACAAATACCCTTCTCATTTTCATTTTAAGCTCTACACACAAACCCATTTTGAGTTTAAGCTCACTCAGATATGGTTGTCCTCATGGGTAGATCTGTCGGTTCTAACATTCCATTGAGATATTTCTGTGTAGCACTCAGTTCCTCCTAAAATAACAGTATGTTCAGTTGATCACAAACAGTTGATCAAAATTGTATTGCAAATAAGCTCAAATGACTAGATAAAAATTTACCAAGATATGTAGCTTTTAAGCACAATCAATAAGAAGTGACGTACAAAATCAGATTATTCAGAATATGAGAGAAATGAATGAAGATCTGTAAGTACAAGTTTATAGATTATGATATTCAAAGAATAATGAAATGTGTATCAATCAAAGAAAGAAAAAAAATATAGAAAACAACTTTGATTACAAACGAGTGTATCGTCACCGAAAATGATTTTCATATAAGAGACGTGATAATAACAGTTTGAATAATAGCTGAAACAGGTATTGGAATTATATACGATAAGAAATTACGTAAGTAAAATCTTAGGAAATACCTGCTCAGAAAATATACTCGTTTCAGAAAAACAATTCTATTTCCAAAAGCATTTATTAGAAATTTTCCAGAGACTCCCCCTAGAAAATATATTTAAGTAATGCTGCATTTCAGCTTAAAATAATAAAAATGGAAACATTTTGGTTCGGGTCCTGAACTGATGTATTCAGAAATCATATTTGTTTCAGCGTGGTTCCTAAACTGAGTGTTTAGAAACCTC